CTACATCAGCGAACAAAGTAAGTTTATTGTAGCGCTCAAGTGATCGTGTGTGCATGATCTGCAACCTACATATTTACCAGCTTCCAAAACCTTGAGGCACACTGAGTGACCCACAAATTGATATCAATGATCAAAGATGAAATATGATCCCAAACCATAAACCCCTGAAAATAACTTTATCAATCCAGATGTCAGATGCAGGCGTTCTACTTGCAGCTCAGCACGCATGTTGGGCAAATGTCAGGCCATCTCCCAAGGGCAAGGGCAAGGGCAAGGTCATGTTGACTTCAGTCCCAGTCAGGCCAGGTCCATTAAATTACTGGTTTTCAGAGCTACAGATAAGCAGCATATTTGTGTAAAATACCCCCCAAAGTATTCAAATACTTTCAATTAACTTGCGTACAGAAATGCATGAATTAAGGGAAAAAGTCAAATGTGTAAAAACAGCACGCGTAAATACCCAATGAAGCTTTTCAGCATGTGCACACCGGAGCTAACTTCTGAAACACAGTTACGAGCTAATCTACTTTCTGAGTCAAGCCTATATTTAGAACCATTATATACATCTGAAACATTATTTCGTTTTTTGAAATCTTAAAATGTTCACTAATTTTGGGAAAAACCCAATAGAGTGATGACTATATGAGTGAAAAATTGGTTACTCAAAGAAAAATGTAAAAACCCAGTTAAAATAGAAACCTTCGAGTAAAAACTCATTTGCTCAAAAAGTTATCTGGAGCTCTGGGTTTTACACTTTTATATCACAAAAATAACTGAAGGCAAGAGGGGAAAATAATAATATCTTTTTAAGAGAAAAAAATAATCACTGCTAAAATTTATTGTGCTGATTACCTCATTTTCTTCTGTATATTGTTTTTGGGGCGGACGACTTTCAGTCAGGTGAGCTAAAAAACTATGCAGGGAAATTAGTAGGATGGAGCAAGTCCAAATTTACTACCCAGGTATCCAACTCACTGGAATGAGTGAGTGAGTACTGTTCTACCCTGCTTTAAGCAATATTCTAACAATATCACGGCAGGGGACACCAGAAATGGGCTTCGCACATTGTACCCATGTAGGGAATAGAACCCAGTCATTCGAACGCTTTAACCACTCGTTTATCCCACCGCCCCTGTAGACATGGAGTTTTATTGTTATCGTCTTTAAACAACATATGTGGCTAACCATGGGTCCGGGTAGACTAAATATATCTGAAAATATATAACTTATGTAATTTGCAATTAAATTTGTCTTCCATATTATACTGTATATATTGTTTTCGGCCAAAGTCGAGGATAAACAGAACATTTCTAATGAAAAACATCTTCATTGTCATACAATATACTGATATTCATAATCAGGGGTCCAAAACTGACACAGAGATCTCCAATACTGACACAGAGAGATCCAATCCTGACACACAGATCCAAAACTGTCACAGAGAGATCCAATACTGTCACATGAAGATCCAAAACTGACACAGAGAAATCCAATACTGTCACATGAAGATCCAAAACTGACACAGAGAAATGCAATACTGTCTCATGAAGATCCAAAACTGACACAGAGAGATCCAATACTGAAACAGAGAGATCCAATACTGTCACATGAAGATCCAAAACTGTCACAGAGAGATCCAAAACTGTCACATGAAAATCCAAAACTGTCACAGAGAGATCCAATACTGTCACATGAAGATCCAAAACTGACAGAGAGAGATCCAATACTGTCACATGAAGATCCAAAACTGACACAGAGAGATCCAATACTGACACATAGAGATCCAATAATGACACATAGATATCCAATACTGGCACTTGGAGATCCAATACTGTCATATGGGGATCCAATACTGTCACAAAATACCTTACTACAAATCAATCCCTTCTTACTACAAATCAATCCCTTAATACTACAAATCAATCCCTTTTTACTACAAATCAATCCCTTCTTACTTCAATTTTTTTTAAGTCTGTAAATCTTGCAGTTACATATTTCCTAAGTTACACATTATCAACAACCCAGTTTAACATACGACACTAGAACGTGAACTTGAGCAACAACTTCCCCCTTTAAGAGAGATCCAATACTGTCACATACAGATCCAATATAGTCACATGGAGATCCAATACTGTCATAAAGAGATCCAATATTGTCACATTGAGATCCAATAGAGACACAGAGAGATACAATACTGTCACAGAGAGATCCAAAACTGTCACATGAAAATCCAAAACTGTCACAGAGAGATCCAATACTGTCACATGAAGATCCAAAACTGACAGAGAGAGATCCAATACTGTCACATGAAGATCCAAAACTGACACAGAGAGATCCAATACTGACACATAGAGATCCAATAATGACACATAGATATCCAATACTGGCACTTGGAGATCCAATACTGTCATATGGGGATCCAATACTGTCACAAAATACCTTACTACAAATCAATCCCTTCTTACTACAAATCAATCCCTTAATACTACAAATCAATCCCTTTTTACTACAAATCAATCCCTTCTTACTTCAATTTTTTTTAAGTCTGTAAATCTTGCAGTTACATATTTCCTAAGTTACACATTATCAACAACCCAGTTTAACATACGACACTAGAACGTGAACTTGAGCAACAACTTCCCCCTTTAAGAGAGATCCAATACTGTCACATACAGATCCAATATAGTCACATGGAGATCCAATACTGTCATAAAGAGATCCAATATTGTCACATTGAGATCCAATAGAGACACAGAGAGATACAATACTGTCACATTGAGATCCAATACTGTCACATGGAGATCCAATACTGTCACATTGAGATCCGATAGTCACAGAGAGATCCAATACTGACACAGAGAGATCCAATACTGTCACATTGAGATCCGATACTGTCACAGAGATCCAACACTGTCACAGAGAGATCCAATACAGACACAGAGAGATACAATACTGTCACATTGAGATCCAATACTGTCACATGGAGATCCAATACTGTCACATGGAGATCCAATACTGTCACAGAGAGATCCAATACTGACACACAGAGATCCAATAGTCACATTGAGATCCAATACTGTCACAGAGAGATCCAATACTGTCACATTGAGATCCAATACTGTCACATGGAGATCCAATACTGTCACATTGAGATCCGATAGTCACAGAGAGATCCAATACTGACAAAGAGAGATCCAATACTGTCACATTGAGATCCGATACTGTTACAGAGAGATCCAATACTGACACACAGAGATCCAATACAGTCACATTGAGATCCAATACTGTCACAGAGAGATCCAATACTGTCAGTTGGAGAACAAATACTTTTACATGGAGATCCAATACTGACACACAGAGATCCAAATTGTCACATGGAGATCCAGTACTGTCAGAGAGATCCAATATTGTCACATGAAGATCCAATACTGTCACACAGAGAACCAATACTGACACAGAGAGATCCAAAACTGACACAGAGAGATCCAATACTGTCACATGAAGGTCCAATACCATCACATGAAGATTCAATACTGACATAGAGAGATCCAATACTGTCACATGGAGATCCAATACTGTCAGAGAGAGATCCAATACTGTCAGAGAGAGATCCAATACAGACACAGAGAGATCCAAAACTGACACAGAGAGATCCAATACTGTCACAGAGAGATCCAATACTGTCACAGAGAGATCCAATACTGTCACAGAGAGATCCAATACTGACACAGGGAGATGCAATACTGTCACAGAGAGATCCAATACTGTCACAGAGAGATCCAATACAGTCACAGAGAGATCCAACACTGTCACAGAGAGATCCAACACTGTCACAGAGAGATCCAATACTGTCACAGAGAGATCCAATACTGTCACAGAGAGATCCAACACTGTCACAGAGATCCAACACTGTCACAGAGAGATCCAATACTGACACAGAGAGATCCAATACTGTCACATGGAGATCCAATACTGACACAGAGAGATCCAATACTGTCACATGGAGATCCAATACTGACACACAGAGATCCAATACTGTCACATGGAGATCCAATACTGACACAGAGAGATCCAATACTGTCACATAGAGATCCAATACTGTCAAATATCCGCTTAAGGCACCTTTCCTCTACGTTACTCATATGCTGGCCATACGTTGAACACGCCAGATCTTGAGTTTATTTAAAACATTAGTAAGTTTTGGGATCCATGCTTTACCAGGCGCTATAACCGAGTTAGCGCTATATTGAAGAGGGCAATAGTGACGGAATACTGTATCAATCCCTGGATTGTCTGGTCCTGTTTGATTATCTACAGGCTGTGATCATACAGCTTGAACACCGCTGAAGGCAGTGTTAAAAAACAAACAAACAAACAAACAAACAAACAATAAAAAATGTGGTGAATCACTATCCACCCCAGTCAGTGGCATATCAATATTGTCGCAGCTTTTTGTTGTAAATTTTGGTTCAAGATTGCATGGACAAAATGTGGGAAAATCTAAAATGGTGGACAAGGTTTTTGCTAGTAATGAACTACAGATACTAGGTATGCATACTCACTAGGGGTGACTTTTGGGAGGCTATTTTCAATATTGCAATTCTATGGCCATAGTAGCAGACGCTATTGTAATAGTATTGCATTAGTAGTAAACCAATTTTAATTCTCGATAATTATAATAATCAATGTAATAGAAATCAATAAAGTATTGCTGACACTCTCCTAGACAGCCATTTTCCTCCCTGTTGCTACTCAAACCAAAGGGAAGTAACTCTAATCTGAAGTTATCAATCCTTGCTGATCAAACACAGGGGCAGGTTTGAAATTTGCATAATATATGTATTATTTATAACGAATTGCAACTATTGAGACTATCGATTTTTATGCATACTATCGACAATACAATTGATATTTTTAAATTCCTACTGACAGTACTATCGTAGGGCAAACAATTGCGATAGTTCAATAGTCTGATATATCGTTACACTCCTAATACTCACCAAAATACTCCTCCCCTTCATACACATCCAAAGTCAGTTTCGGGTACATCCGTACAAGAATCTTGCAGACTTCACTGTGCACAGGGCTGTCCATGAGATGAGCCAGGTGAAATGGCGTTTCCCCAACACCACCTCGTTTATTTAAGTCCCAACATGCCTCATGCGGCTCAAACTTATTGAATTCGTCCTCTTCAAAATGTTCCAAAATACTCTCATCAGATTTTGTATCTAGCTCTACATAGCCCTGAAACAAGAACGATTATCACTGTAAAGACATATTCTTAATTACTTAATTTCTTAATCAGTGCCCCTGAGGGTACCCCAAGCACATTTATATTTAATATTTATCTCAATAACTGCCAACCTACTCCATCATAAATTAAAATCAAACTAAATTGACACCAGGATGCAAATAAAAAAATCCAAAAAAAATCTAAAGATGCACTTTTGTGCAGTATATTCACTGCAGTAGAGTTCATGTATACGTGAGGCCTGCATTCGATCAGAAGAAACAATCTGTGAGAAATACAGATATACAAGCTGAAAGTCACACTTGGTAATTATCATGATTATGCCCAGTATTGTTATACAATAGAGTTTTTGAAGTTTGCAAACAACTTAAACTTAAATTTAATAATGGTGGATTATTTTGCATATCTTGTGTATTTTATGCAAATATGTAGCTTATCTGCTGTATTAGCATTTATGATATCAATACGTTGTTTCCACTGAGACTTGCGAGTGCCTTTTTGTTATAAGTGGATGAGCGAGTCTCAGCAAAGCTTTGACAGTAATCCAGATATATCACGGCGTGTCAGCTTAACGTTGGAGGAAAGCCCAAAGTGATGCAGGTCTCAGACATTTACTACTTTAGAGAAACCGACCATCACGGGTATTGTGTTGACAAAGACATAGATTGCAGGATTCGAACCCACGATCATAGCTTTAAGTGAAAAAACTCCGAACAGCCTTAGATGACTGTCACCTGTGCTCCATTTTTTGTGATGGCATAAACTGCACTTACAATGACAAGCTTAAAGTACAAAGTCAGCTTTCTTCATCAGTCTGTTGATGGAAATGGATGCCATTCGGTTAAAAAATACAAAGTTGAAATAAAGGACAAAAGTATGCAATAACAGTCAAGTGTTACGAAAAAATAATAAACGTTACAAAAAAAGGTAATTGTTTACATACGATGTTGTGCCCTGTCGTTCTTTAGTACACATTGTTCATTTTTACATATGACGTCTCATTTGCGAGTTGTTCAGTGGCACTGTTTTGCATTTTGAATTCATTATTCGTATGTGAATAATGACTTCGTTTGTAACATTAATTCATTTTTCGTAACATTTGACTGTTATTGCATACCCCTGTCCTTCATTTGAACTTTGTACTAATTTTTGACCGAACGGCTGCCCATAGATGGACTCAAGTGACAGTTTAGGACGAACAATTGCTCAATCTGCTTCACCAGTCACAAATTTCTTATACGAAAGAGGAACCAAGTCAAAAACAAATTCTTCCTCACAGCAAGGGAAACATAATTAATATGGTCTGAAGAATCAATATTGACATTATAAACAATCAATACATATCTTTGTGTGCAATCATCATGCTTATTCCATACCCCTTAAACGGGAGTTAATCACGCAGAAATCAATGGGTGAATAAAAGAACTACAAGTAAACGTAACCATTGAGGTTGAGTGTACTGCAAATGCACCAGCACACATTAAAAATGTATTCATCGGATTCTTTGAAGTTACATTATCAAATCGGCTTCATCGACAACAAATCAGCCATTTGGTGTTAAGCTACGTTGAATTTTCGTTCAGCAGTGTAATGTTTATATATTCACTTTCGAAAGCATGACAAAATACATGCTTGAATTAAATGAAAGAGGTTGTTTGATACCAAAATATGGTCTTGTCTGTGAAATCAATATCTCAACTTAATTGCCATTTTCACTGCAGGCATTCTTATTGTAGTACTGAAAATCGTTAATTTGAAATTTACTCTGCTGGATTAGATATTCTGAAAGCTGGACAAGAGTTTTGACGCGTATGTGTGAGTTTTTACAATAATGTTGTGATACCTAAAAGTGATACGTAATCAATTTACACTCTTTGAACTGTAGTTGGAACCTGCTAGACATCGGGGTCGGTCGGGTAGCCTAGTGGTTAAAGCGTTCACTCGTCACGCCGAAGACCCGGGTTCGATTCCCGGCATGGGTACATTGTGTGAAGCCCATTTCTGGTGTCCCCCGCCATGATATTGCTGGAATATTGCTAAAAGCGGCGTAAAACCATACTAACTCACTCACTCACTCTGTGTCGTCTAGGGGTAACATTGAAATGTAAGTATCAATATATCAACTCAAAAGTATCATGACATATCGACTAATGACAAATTAATTATTATGTATTTATATAGATATCTATTAATCATATCATGGGTAGATTTCTCAGCAAGATAAAGACCCTAGATAAATATGGTATCAGCTGGAGTCACGCACGGATAAATATGCCAATATGACAGGTCAGGTAGGTACTACTTTCAGTGTGTAAGAGGCGACTAACGGGATCGGGTGGTCAGGCTCGCTGACTTGGTTGATGCATGTCATCGTATCCCAATTGCGTGGATCAATGCTTATGATGTCAATCACTGGATTGTCTGGTCCAGACTTGATTATGTACAGACCGCCATCATATGATTAACCATCAGGGATCTGGACAAATTACTGGAATAATTGATAACATTATATAATAAAAATAATAATCCAAAATACCGAAAATCAGTGTCTAACAGGGATGAAGCTGAGACAGTATCTGAACAGTATTTCGACAGTAGGTCTAGCTTTAAAATAATACTGGTTAAAAAAATCAAGCAGCCATAAGCATTTTGCTATCAGGCAAACAATGCATGGTACTCCTACAATTGCATCTTGTCATGTTTTTATAAGGATTTTATTTAGTTTTAGGCCACCAGATTTCTGTCAATTTTGAACCCTGTGACTCGGACAGAGAACTACTTGATTTAGCATTACCTTACCTCCTAAATAAACAAGTTAAGCGAGATAAACACAAATGCTTTGATATCAGCCATCTAATCTCTTATGGCGCACAAAAACAGCAACAAAATTAAGTATTGTGCATACATATCATATCGTGACTCAAGTGACATATTATGTATTAACACATCAGGTTGGCGTATTGTGACACCTCTCCTAGAATCTAGAATAAAGTAGGTTTACTGTAATTGTCATGAGAAGCACCCTGGGTGCTAAGAAAAATGACGAAAGGGGGTGCTTATGGAAACCATGAGTAACAAGTTAACTTATTTTCAGGGATCAAGCAGTATTTCAAATGTCAATAAAACTAAATGTTTTTGATAAGAGTAACCAGGCAAATATTCACCCCTTCTACACTGCTGATTTCTGTAAATAAACTAAATTCCAGCTATATGATTGTAGTCTGTTTATAACCGAATCTCGACAAGACAATCCAGTGATTGACATCATGAGCATCGATCCACGCAATTGGAATATGATGACATGCATCAACCAAGTCAGCAAGCCTGACCACCTGATCCCGTTAGTCGCCTCTTACAACAAGCATAGTCACCTTTTACAGCAAGCATTGGTTGATGAAGACCTATTCTATCCCGGATCTTCACGGGTCTGAAACTTAGAAGGGCGCTTATAAATATTACTTTCAGATTGGTCTAGAAGATGCTCAGGGGTGTATATTGGAACAGGGCGCTTAATATGGCAAATACGGTACTTACCGTATTTTCTTGAGTATAGTGCACACCCATGTATATAATGCGCACCCCCCTCTAGTGGGTTTAATATTTTGGAAAAAAAGAAATTTGAATATTATGCGCAGAAAAAAATTACACCGTACCCTTTCAGCTAAGTCCGGCAACGAATGGGTGATGAGAAACTTCGTCAGTACAAATCCGAAATTTGAGATAAAAAATCACCAGACATGTTTATTTACCGATTAAATAGTATTTATTGTTCTGCTAGGCATTGTTTTATATCTAGGGATTAAGATTACCTTGTGTATTTTCACGTAAACTAAGCCGGAAACGGCAATCAGCTGTACACACGTTTTCTTGGATCGACCGGTGATTCAGATTTGTTGACATGGTATTTCCGGTGTTTCGTGCTCACTGTAATGTCTTTCCATGGGGGAAAAAAACATCCAAACTCATAATTCGTGTATAATGCGCATCCCCTTCTACACAGCTGTGTTTTTTTTTTAAAAGTGCGCACTATACTCAAGAAAATACGGTAATTATCTTGGATGAGCCATCAGTACCAAGAGGTGCATGGTGTTTTGGCCAACTCCATGCATAAAGACCTAAGGAAACTGAGCACTGAATGCAAGGATGACCATCATGAATATGGAGAGCCTTACAAACCAACAAGTGAAACTTTTCTTGTCAAAGTAGAAGTACAAAAAGTCAGCCTTCTTACTAATTTACCAAAAAGTTTGGACTCAGAAGGGCAGTGTTTTATGCCACAATCTGCACAATCACATTAAAATGAGATCTTAGTTCTTGCTACAGCTAAACAAAGATCTGAGGACATCCCATTACGGGTCACGTCAGAACGACCTTGCGCGAACTTTGACCGATGACCTATCAGAAGGCAGCTTTCTTGTGCTTTACGGCACTAACTTCAAATTGGCGACTACGCTTCGAAACATATTTTGACAAATTCTCGATTACAAATTTGAAACCTGAACAAAAGAACATTCTGGAATGGCTAATAGATGGTCTAGATTGTATGGATTCAGTCGTTAACCCCGTAACTATCGTTCGGAATACCCCGTGTAAAAAGTTTTCGTGGATGCATGATTAGAAAACACATTCCGACTGTCACTTTCATGATCTGGTAAGCAACGCTCTGATTGGTCAGATGAAAGGTCGTTCTGACATGACCCCTAATGGGATGTCCTCAGAACTTTGTTTAGCGGCAGCAAGAACTACGATCTGATTTTAATGAGATTGCAATCTGCAGTATTCCAGTATCTGACACTGGGATTACAACTAAATGAACCACTGCCTAATGCTCATGTGCATTTACTAGTCAGACTAGGAGGGTTTTTTTTGGCAAAGAGATTTTGGTATACATAAGGGCTGTATTGCCTGTATTAGAAGCTGAACCTCCAATACATGCTGGCCTCAAATTGACACTGGGTCGTACACTTTGTCCACAATAAGAAAAGCTGGGCCT